GATTTCTAGCCGTTTGGACATAGTCCAATGCTATCACTCCGGAGTTTTTCTGCTTTCTGACAGATTTCAGTCTTCTCTTGATGTGTCTAGATGACTTCATGTTGTCCTTTGAACTGTTCACTTTAATAATCACTGTTTGATTATCGCAGTTCATTAGAATAGCTGGCACTGGTTTTTCAACCACCGGCAAATCCATCAGGAGTTCACGAAGCCACTCGGCCTCAACTGTCGCAGTATCTAGTGCTGTAAGTTCTGCTTCCATTGTTGACCTCGTTAAGATGGTCTGCTTGCAAGACTTCCAGGAAACAGCGCCACCTCCAAGTGTGAACACATATCCACTTGTGGCTTTTATCTCATCAGCATCAGATATCCAGTTTGAGTCACTATACCCTTCTAGTACTTTTGGATACCCGGTATAGTGAATTCCATAGCTCATAGTACCCTTTAGATAGCACATTACTCTTTCCAGAGCCTGCCAATGATCATCTCCCGGATTTGAGACAAACCGGCTCAGCTTGCTTACAGCAAATGAGATGTCAGGCCTCGTTGCGCTAGCCAAGTACATCAATGAACCAATGATTTGAGAGTATCTCAGCTGATTTGAGAGTATGTCATCGACATATAAGCACAAGATCACCCCTTCTCCCCCACCATAGCGATAGTATACACATTTGTCAGCTTCGTTCACAACAAAGCCTGCAGATGTAAGCGTGGTGTCAAACTTCTCATGCCATTGCTTAGGTGCTTGCTTGAGGCCATACAAGGATTTCAATAGTTTACACACCATTCCCTCCTGACCTTCTGGTTGATCCATATAGATCTCCTCCTCCAGCTCTCCGTTTAGGAAAGCTGTCTTAACGTCCATCTGATGGACGAGAAGACCATGAGAGGCTGCCAGAGCAAGTAGTACTCGAATCGTGGTCAAGCGAGCAACTGGTGAGTATGTGTCGAAGAAGTCCTCGCCTTCCTTTTGGGTATAACCCTTGGCCACAAGCCTTGCCTTGTACTTTTCGATTGTACCATCAGGCCTAAGCTTTTTCTTGAAAACCCATTTGCATCCTACGGGCTTGCACCCATATGGACGCTCAACGACTTCCCAAGTACCATTAGACATAATCGAGTCCATTTCACTGCGTACTGCTTCCTTCCAGTAGTCAGCGTTAGGAGATGAATATGCCTCTTCTATGGTTCTTGGGGTGTCATCCACGAGGTATACAATATAGTCATCTCCAAAGGATTTTGCAACCCTTTGTCTCTTACTCTTGCGAGTATCTACAATGTTGTCCTCCTCAGGATTTTCCTCAGGCGTTTGATCATTGTGTTCTATCGGTGCAAAGTGCTCATGGGGCATGACAGTTTCTTTACTAGAAGTGCTAGGTGTATATTTCATAGGAAATTCATTCTCAAAGAATGTAGCATCTCTGGACTCATGAATTGTACCAACATGCATGTCGGGTACTCCAGAGTTTACTATTAAGAATCTATAACCCACACTGTGGATAGCATAACCAAGAAACACACAATCAACAGTTTTTGGTCCAAGTTTCCGCTTTTTGGCTATAGGTACATTTATCTTGGCCAAACAGCCCCATGTTCGTAGGTATGAGAGATTTAATTTCTTCCTTTCCCATTCCTCGAATGGTGTTATTTCCTTATGCTTCATTGGAATTTTATTCAGGACATGACACGCAGTCAAAACTGCCTCACCCCACCATTCCTTGGAAAGCCCCGCAGTGTCTAACATGGCATTCACCATCTCAGTTAGAGTACGGTTCTTTCTTTCAGCCACCCCATTTTATTGGGGTGAATAGGGAGGCGTCATCTCATGAATAATTCCAAACTCTTCGCAAAAGGATGCAAACTCATTGGAAAAATACTCCCCACCTCTATCAGACCTCAACCGTTTGATTTTCCTTTCAAGTTGGTTTTCTACCTCAGCTTTATAGATTTTAAAGAAATGCAATGCCTCATCCTTTGTTTTCAATAGATACACATAGCAAAATCTAGTGCAATCATCTAGCAGTGTCATGAAATATTTCTTTCCCCCTTTAGTCAACACGCCGTTCATTTCGCACAAATCGGAATGAACAAGTTCTAGAGGTGCCAAATTCCTCGCCTCAGATGCCTTGTGAGGCTTGCGAGGTTGTTTCGATTGAACACAAGTATGGCACTTGGAACCTTTTACCAAAGTGAATTTTGGAATTAAACTCATGTTAGCTAAGCGCGTCATACAACCGAAATTCACATGACAGAGTCGCGAATGCCACACATTAGACTCATCATTCTCGCTAATATGGTTCACAGCATTATGATTATTACACATGTCATTCAAAGAAAAGCGGAACAAGCCTCCGCTGTCATAACCTTTTCCAACAAAAGTCCCATATTTAGATACGACACATTTATTGGACTCAAACACAAGTCTAAAACCTTCTCTACACAATAGAGAGCCGCTAACTAGATTCTTCTTTATTGAAGGGACATGCTGCACGTTCTTCAGCTGCACGGTCTTTCCCGAAGTAAACTTCAGATCGACCGTACCAACACCATGAACAGCCGCAAGCGACCCATTTCCCATCAACAAGGAGGAACCTCTCCCGACCTGATAAGAAGAAAATAGAGAAATGTCAGCACATACATGAATATTAGCACCAGTGTCCACCCACCAATCAGGTGAATGAAAAACAGAGAGAACTATAGGTAATATTTTACCGGACCCCGATGTTCCTCCGCCCTCGCTAATGATCATGTTGGCAGACTTCCTGTCTTTGCGCTCAGGACAGTCCTTGGCCCAATGCCTAGACTTGCCACACACAAAGCAGTCTCCCTTTGCCTTTCCCTTGCTTTTCTTCTTAAAATTGGTTGCAGCCTTGGGTTTGACATTAGGCTTGACTTTCTTGTTGTTGTGGGATGCAAAAGGGTTCTTCTTCTGTACCATATTGGCACTAGAACCTCCCTCAACCTTTTTGCCCCGGACGTCCTTTGCCCTCGCCTTCTCCTCAACACCCAAAGAGCCAATGAGATCAGGAACACTGAACTCTTGTCTCTTGTGCTTTAGAGAAGTGGCAAAGTCCGACCAAGAAGGTGGTAGTTTGGCAATAATGTCACCTGCCACAAACTTGTCCGGCAACTCACAGTTGTTGTTCTCAAGTTCCTTAGCCAGCATCTGAATCTCATGAGCTTGTTCAACTACAGAACGGTCATCGACCATCTTGTAGTCATAGAACTGCTCCATAACATACAGCTCACTGCCGGCGTCAGAAACTCCGAACTTGGCCTCAAGTGCATCCCACATGTCCTTCCCAGAAGGCATGTGCATGTACACGTCCACTATGTTGTCAGCGAGTACACTGATCAATGCTCCACGGAACAGGCAATCCGAAGCCTCGAACTTAGCCTCTTCCTCAGGAGAAAGAGGTGGTTCACTTCGTTTGCCCCGTGAAACATAGAAGCACTGCATCGCTGTCAACCACAATAGTGCACGTGCTTTCCATCTCTTATAGTTTGAACCATCAAAGGCATGTGGTTTCAGTGTAGCAGCAAAGCCAACTACCGAAAATGACCTATCAGGTTTTTGGATTGTTGGAAATTTGGTCATAATTCGGCATATTTTAATCCAAAATAACAAGATAATAAACATGATATTTACAATAGGATTTGATCCAGTGATAGTGGTGAATGTAATCAACATGAGCATGCTTAACGTTGAATTAGCATCAACAATCACATAATGACACAATGTTGACATTGCGATGAACATTAACAGTAAAACTTCTAATTGAAATAATGTAATAAGGTTATACCCCAAGAATGGTCCTCCGCTGGAGTTTGAGGCAGTATTGCCTCCGTTGGTGTTGACGGGAGTCTCCTTCTCCTTGTCTCCAGTGTTCGACATGTTGGTGAAGATGAAGTAGATGTTGACGAACAGTGAGTAGTCGCGCCTTGCGCTCCCCAAAAACCTGATCGCCCGCCCGTCTGTGCAAACGTCGCAACAACGCGTGGTTTCAGAGGCCTACTCTCCCAACGCGTGTGCACACACTCGTCGGGATGGGATTACCGTAGCAGCAACAGCTTTTGAAAATGGATGAAAGTGTGTCTTCTTCTTCTCGCGGGAGATCAAATCCATTCTCATTTTATAAGAGGAATGGAAGATGAAGAGTAAGAGTCATGGAATAGGAAGAGGAATGGAGCAACTAATTGTCATCAACTAGCCATGAACCATCCTCCACTATACAACCATCAACCATCCATCAATTAGGACTAATTGATATAAGTTACCAATTCCTTAATCAAATGGATTAATTCTCAAAACTCTTCATCCCATTGATATCCCATAGAAGAATGAATTCACATGAATTCCTAGCATAATGAGCATTGGAATTTATTTGATTTAATTGATTTAAATGGATTAATTACCCAATTAAATCTAACATGAATTACCAAGGACATGCTCCCGAACTCCTAAAATAGTACGAGTACTCTCAAACATTTCAATTAGCATTTCTTACAAAAACTAATTACATCTAACTAACCAATATTTTAATACAAACTTAAAATGTTTAATGTGTGTCTCAATCACCAGTACGGATTATCTTATTTATGGTACTGCTAGTGCACTAGCAGATTCTAACATATGAGCCCGGCCCTACATGCCATACAAAGAATTAATTAACGAGGACATATCCTCCCAAACTCCTAAAATGGTACTATTACTCTCAAAATTTTCAATTAGCATTTCTTAAAAAAACTTATTATATCTAACTAATCAACATTTTAATACAAACTTAGACTAAAATGTTTAATGTGTCTTCACTAGCGGTACACATTATCTTATCTATGGTATTATTGGTATACTAGCAGATACTGACGTGTGAGCCATAACCTATATGCTAGCAGGTAGACAGTTAGCTACTGCAATTGTATCAACAGTACTATAGATGATCTGCATTCCTGTAACACTAGCAGATACTGACATGTGAGCTAGAATCTATATGCCCCTGTATGCCAGCTAGGTATTTAGCCACTGCAAATGTATCAGCAATACTGTAGAGGATCCATTCCTTAAACCATGAACCCTTTTTTTTTTTTGGCGCGGGTGGAAATTCCCGTGCGCGGGGTTCTCTCCTCCCTTCCAAGCTTTTGCGCGACGCCGCCGCCCTCCCCCCTCCGCCGACCTTCTCCGACCGGCCGCAGCAGATCCGACGGCCGCCGTCCCCGACGTCGTCCACCGCCCTTCCCGATCTCCCTGCTGCCACGCCGGTCTGGAGCCGCCATCCCCGACGTCCACAGCTAGCAGCTTCGCGCGGCGGCCCTCCCCGACGCGTACGCGACCTCCGAGCTGCCGCCGGCCGTCGTCGTCCGGCGCCGCCCTCCCGACCTACTCCGCAGCATCTTCCGCTGCGCCTCCATCCCCGACGTCAGCTTCCGCCGGCCGTCGTTCGGCGCGGCCCTCCTCGATCTACCTCCGCAGCATCTCCGGCGACTTCCCCCCGCTGCCACGCCGCCATCCATCCAGATTAGGTGAGGCGGTGAGGCCTCGCTGCTCCCCTTCCTATTTATGTTTGCGTTTTTTTTTAACAAAGGTTATGAATCTTTCCGCTGAAAGAATTATAAGTAGAAAATCAGCACGACCAAGTTTTGGTAACATGACTATATGGCCAAGTCTTGGTCACCAAGATGATGTGAGGTATGCAGACATAGCAAGCAGAAGTACAGTTAACATGACTATATGATCTATTCACTAATGTGTTTTTATTTCCTGACTATATGATCAGCAGTAAAATGGTTACTTTTTCAATAATCAAGCTGAGAGAATTGAGTTCCTTCTTAATTGGTGGTCAGAAGATGTTGGTCCTAAGTTTAATTTTTAACTGGAGGATCACTGATGCTATTTTCAGTAAGATGAAGCCTGGTCTACTTATCCGACTGATGAAGGTCCAATCAGATGTTTGTTGCATTCACTTCATGCCATGACTTAATTCCCAGTAGAATAATTCTTTTTTTAGAATAGGTCACCAGGGGGGAGAGCTTCCCCACCTGAATTTGAATTAAAGAGGGGGCTTGAGGTTTACATTGACATTACACATTCATAGAACGGCAATAATTGTTGATACACTGTTGTAGCCCCGAAAATTTGTGAGAACTCAATGCACTGTTGTCCAATAAATATTCTGGTAAAGGTTGTGCATGCTGAAAAGGTATGTAGTATTTGTTACTTCTTGTATCTTGTAGTCATGTAGATTGATAATGGCAAAGATTTTTGGTAGTGTGTTAGGAACAAAAAGGAATTGTGCGGTTGGGCTGAAATATTTAGATTGGGAAATTCTTGTAAAAATATTTGGTAGTGCTGCTGAAATATTCTGGTTGGGAAATTCCTTAAAAAAAGGGCAGTGTGCTATTGGGATAGGAAATGACCAGGTTAGTAGTACTTGTTCAGCCTTCGACCTGAGATTTGGCAACAATTATTAACAGGAATGTGCTCAAACTAAAATCGTTTTTCGGGCTAGAGGTCTAGACATTGTAAATAAGTTTAGGCAACATATATCATTGTAAATAGCATGTATACCATTGTTTTTTTTCTCACATTATGTGGGCGACATATATCAGCTAGTACCCGGAGGTTTATCTTTGAAGGTAGCTTGAGTACTTCTCATATACATATATATTGGATGCCATATAGATTAGCACTTGTGAACTTGGATATCTGTGTAATTATGTATGTGTACTCGTTTTATGTTTGAAGAACAATGAATCAAAGGTTGTCTAATGCAATGGAAAGGAGACCTAACGGTGATCTGGAGTTCTCATGGAAGAGGGCCCGGTTGCATGGCCAGCACATACTACCGGAGGTTCGTGATCAAGGTAACGAGCCAACTTGCGTCTTCCAAGCCGTCTGTGCTGCTGCGGAGATGACGATGATGAGAAATCTTGCTGATCGTAACCCCCCCAGCTCTACCGATACCAGGTTTGATGCTGAACTGCTAGCGCATGACTATGAGGTAGAGGTTCAGCGGTCTCTTGGTAAGGACCATGACCTGGGTCACACCGTGCGGGCAGATACAGCCTTGCGTTTGTTTGGAAGTATTGGGGCATTGGCAACGTCATCAGGTTGGGAAGGCCATCAAAGGGTCAGACTCAGAAACTATCGCTCTCTGAGTATATCGAACTTCGAGAGGGTTGCAGAGTACATCATCCAGGGCACACCTCTACTTGGCACACTGCCAACCGGTGATGAATTCAGGACGATGCTTCCCGATGAAATATTTGAGTTTCGTCGGGGACTTTTGCCAGCTGGAACTGTGGCATCAACCCATATGGTTCTCTTCATGGGCTTTGGCTACAGGAATGGCCGCCCATACTTGGTGTTCCTTAACAGCAACGGCAAGAGCTTCGGAGACGAGGGTTTGGGCAGGGTGTACTTTGATCAGATCTACGCTGAGCTGTTTTATGCACTGAATGCCAGAGCCCCTGATGCCTCAGTACGGACAAGTCATCATAATGAAGATGCCAGCGCCTCTACCTCGGCGACCATTCAGCAGTTTACACTGTCTTCATCTGCTAGACCTGGACCAGCACACACTGATGCCAGAGCCTCCACCTCGTCCACCACCATGCAGCTATCATCTTCATCCACTCCACCGACTGCACCCCGACGCCGAGATGATCAGCCGTCTCCTCCCCGGCCGGCACAGCGCCGTCGGCTGTGACCTGCACTAACTGTATCTTCTAGACCTCTGTTGTCGTTCGAGCTACACCACGCCTAACCTTTCTGAGATCACTACCAGTAGTACTACCTTGGCAGCAATGCTGTGGTATCCATCGGCTTAAACTTACTGCTAGTATATACTCATAGATACTGCAAATCCTTAAGCAAATCACTATATTACTAGTAACTCTTTACTAACGAGACTTTTTACAGTGCTTGGGAGGTATCTAGGATACCGTTTAAACTATTAAATATCCACCGTTGATTGCTAAATGTTAATTTAGAAATAGAAATAACATGATGATGGGCAATTTAGTAATTGTTTTCAGTCATAACAACTTCTAACTTCTTCCTGATTGTTTGCTGCAAGCCCCTAATTCAATCACCATTGCTGCTCGCGTAGTATTACTTTCGTTCACTAATTCTCATCTCTTGCTGCTCCTGTTGCTTACATTATAGTTACTTATTAATTACATAAATCCATGGTCATTCATATCACATCCTCTAGGCTTTCGAAGGCATTTTTCTTATCTATCTTTTGGATGACCTGAGGAGATGCCGGTGTGGATCACTGTCTTAACTAGATGGTATCCCGCGCGTTGCTGCGGGACATTGTGCGGATAAAATTCTGTATGATTGAAGGAGATGTTTAAAATTGAATCCAACCAACAAAAGGAACTCTACAGTATGGTTCTTACTAATATGTCTGACATATAAGCAATCTAACAGGTCATGTGTAATTCCAATTGACCTTTGTGTTATTCACATACTGCATGAACCACATATGGCAGGAAGAAAAGCAAAAAGGTAAAGTGTACGGTTGGTTTTAATCAGACATATGCTTCTTGCTAATCTGGTAGGAATTGCATAGGTGAAGCATTAATTATTCGAATTGTTCTCGCATATATGAACAAATGTTAATCCATATTGTGAGACCAGGTAGCGATGTTCCCCTATGGTTGCTGTAAACATTGAAAAAACACATATTGACTATATTATAGATGAAATCAAGTTTATATGTCAGCTAGATCATGAAAGGTAAAGGCCTTAGTCTAAAAGGACTGGATTTGAATTATTTTTTCCATCCAATGGTCTGGTGCTGGACTGAAGCAATTTAAGTTTTAGCTTGAAAAAACAACATTGCAGTGTGCACATATATAGCAGATTGGGGTAGTGAAAAAAAGATTCGGTGTGTTACCCATCAAACATGGATAAGGTAATTCTTACAAAATCTCTACCTATCTAATTTATAATAAAATAATGATTGTCAGCTTTGCAATTTCATGGACTTTATAGATAGAACCTCAGACCACTGAATTATTTGATCGATTGCTCGTGATCCAAACTGGACAATGCCTTCCATCATCATATATTCTTCTTCCAACTGTAATAAAATTGGGTAGCAGAATCAGAATTTACACAGAGAAAACGCAGATAAACTTTCAATCCAAATTGCACAGGTACATTACATTCCAAAGAAAAACAATATTACAAAAGGCAAGAGACAATTCCGACTGAAGTAATAAGAGCACAGTTATACAAATAAGAAGGATATAGTAGCAAGGAAGGAGGGTGATAGGAACGAAAATGGCACATGCTGGGTTGCCAATGCAACCGAAGGGGATTGATTATATTGTGCTGGCGCACGGCATGGCCATGGAAGATACAAGTTAGGAGAAGAGATGAGGTTGAGGACATGCAGCGATCCATTTTATAGACAAACATTAATTATCGTCAAATGAGGAGGCAAGCTAGCAAACCAGGGAGTAAGAGCAAGTTTAATAATATAGCCAACTACTAACTCTAAATCATCTATAGCCAATGTAATAGCCAATTCATACAATAATTACTTACTATACTATTAATACCTGGTCCTACCTGACATCCGCACATTACGTCTTGAAGTCCGTGCTGCAGCTGGCTACAGATCTGTAGCCCGCTGCTCTTCTCTCTTTATTTTTCTTCTTAAAATATGTTTATAGCTGGCTTATAGCCTGCTATTGTACCTGCTCTAACGGGAGATGAAGTGGCGCCACACACATTGATGGGCGTCGACGGTTTCCATATCTAGTTAGAAACTGAGGAGGCGATTAAGCAGCTCGGGAAGTGGGGGAGAGGAAGGCAGGAAACGAAGCGGTGGGGGAGGGGTTGATGATTCCCCTGGCCGGCAAGAAGAGCGCGGCGCAAGCACAGGGAGGAGCTGGCGCGGTGGTGCGTGTGGCGTTTTCGTGGGAGAGGACACCGAGCAGGCTAGGGTGGGGTCCATAGGGAAGAGAGGGAGAGCGATGAGATGGGCTTTCTTGGGCTCTCCCGTGTGGGCTATTCTAATCCATAAACAGGATCCAAGCCTTTGGGAACCATGATCTAGACCATTGATATTTAATCTGATGGTTGCTGTACTGAGCGTTGAGATTCGATCGAATGGCTGAGAATAAATGGGTGACGTGGCTTAACCACAAATCAACTTTGGGTCTTAACTATATAGAAAGAAGGGATTAAATCCACCAATGAACTACCAAAACCTGAGATGCCGGTGTGGATCACTGTCTTAATTAAATCCACCAATGAACTGCCAAAACCTTAACTAATATGACACCGCGCGCCCGTTTTGTGGACATCAATATTTATAACAAAATAAATCTGTAATCGATCATAATGTCATATAATCGATGTTAGGAACTTCATACTACGTGTACGAAACAAATTCGAGAAGAACCGCATGAAGAACTTCTGTTACTGTGATTTGCCTTTCACATATGATAGATTGATTTAAATACCCATGGACACAATTATCTATATACCCTCCTGCCTAATCTCTATGTTAGTACTGGCCCACTTTTGTAAGTACCGTTTTATAGGTACCTTGTATTGTAGACTATTATATTGCAGCTGATCAACGGTTATCATGATTTCTAAGTACTGGAGAAAGTCTCTTAACTAACTGATAGTGACCTCAAGCAAGCAAACAGATGTTCTACTGCATGTTCCCTTCCAAATCCCTTCTTTCTATAAAGTTAAGACCCAAAGCTGCCTCCTCAATTCACCGTGTCATCAACATTATATTAGCCATTGGATTCTCTGTAGGTCTCTGGATCGACGGTTCAGCAATATTGGGCCATCCCATCCCACTCATGCGCCTCTCATAAATCCTTCTTTCTGTTGGCCCAAGCCTATAACCATGCCAATATTTGCCATTGTTTCGTCTCCCTCATGACTCCGTTGGTAAGGTGAACCATGGGCCAGCCGGTATTAATCCAGCAGTGAGTTCTTCACCGTTGCTTAATCCGCACACCGCAACAACCGCATCGCCTCCTCCCACGGCGATGCATCTCTCCCTCTCCTATGCCGTGCAACGTGCGAGGTCGCACCGGGGCCTATGGCGCCCGTCTTTCCCCCTCCCACATCAAGCCGAGTGCGCCTTGCAGCCTGTTTGCCTCATCGGCGTGTCAAGAGGAACGGAACCGTCGATACCCATGAAGAGCACACTTCAACTCTCACAACATTCAAACCGCCTCCTAGCTTTTAACTGTCGACCACCGTATGAACTTCGGGAGCTGCACAAAACGAGCACCAGCGACGCCACTCGCCCACCTCTGCGCCTCTTCGCTTTGTGCGCCAAGATTAATGGGGAGGAAAAGTCTGATTTTATCAACATCCAACCATCTCGTTTTCAATTTGCAAATGACCTCACATAATCATATTGCCATTGCATCCATGGTTTGTTCTTTGAGTTCTTTCTTTGATTTGCTCTTAGATACCACTCCAACCAACAGTCCATGAGGACCAAGAGTTCGAGACTTGCTGTTAGACCATTCCTAACCCAAAACACTACATATAGTTTCCATGAACTCTACATCATTAAGAAACTAGTACTAGACACTACTCTTTCAATGCAAACACCACTCTTCCATACTTAAATTTAATGCTATTTATTTCACATGATGTCTTGGATGTTGTGTAGAAATCATGTCTCATGCAAAACCTAGTTTTCTTATCTTTCCTCAGTTATTCACTTGCCACATCATCTTTTATCCGAGGTGGCATCTTATTTACTGCTATGGACATTATCCTAGTTATTGAGTTGAAAATGGCCTTAGACTTGCTGACAGCTGACTTGCTTGTCCTTTCGTTTTCCCCTCTTGGCCTCTTCTACAGATTTGGTTTAGTCTTTAGATCTAGGAGAGAGTTAAAGAGAAAGGGTTCAGATCGGTGATTATCGCGGACAACCTGCTGCCCATGGTATGATTTTCTTGATTACTATATACATAGAAATAACATATTTTGTGCTGGCTCGCGAGGTTCTAAAGACTACTCCTATATAATATGGTTTTAGGTGTTTTTTTTAGAGAGAACAGAGCTTGTGTTTTTCACGTTTCATTGACACGTTTTCAAATTCGAGCCGATTTGCAAATAGAGGTATTGTACATTTGTACTACTGTTCTTGGTATTTTGTCATCAAGGAAGTATTTATCTCATTATTTGGAAGTGAATCTCTATCTCTATCTCTACTATTAGAAAAATTGAAAATATTTTTGCTGAGATTTTGATAGGTCGCCTGTGTTTGAGTTGGTTTTGATTTGATTTTGGTTTGCCCGATTGGCCATCTGATTCCTATACGCACCTGATGCTGCGTTCGCTTCCACTAGCCCAATTCCGATTTAGCTCATCGTACTGCTTACGCGCCACCACCGCCTGCTCCTTTCTGTCCCTCCCAGCGATCTATACGAACCCAATCAGGCGAATGATGGGAGACGAGATCGTTTAACATATCTATCGGTCCCAAACGCCCCTCTCGATCGGACAAGATCATTTGCACACGCAACCCAAACGCCGGAGTCTGCAAGCTCCTAAATCGTTCGTTCATGCGCGCTCCGCCACACACGTCACATGTGGGAGAACGGCCGCCCCGCTCATCTCTCGAGTCACGCCCTAATGGATTGGTGCTTCCTCCTCCCCAACTGTCTATCCAGCCTCTTCTTCCTTCTTCCGCGTACGTACATAACACCAGGAGATCGCATTGTATCGCAGTACGAGACAAACACCATGTGCGGGTTGCGGAAGCACCAGTGAGGCTCGGGATGCCGAAGATGGCAAAGGCTGCAGGGCTTGATCGAGATGGAGGCTCCACGAACAGGCCAAGCTCGGCGGCGACGACCATGGCTGCGGTGGTCCGGCGATATATCTAGCACAGGGTTGGCTGGCATTGGCAATCGGAGA